CTGCGGGAGCTGCCCCCTGCTCCCTTAGTGTGCCCCAGTTCCCCTGGTTACCAGCTGCCCACAGGATGCCACCACAGGAGACCCTCTGAGCTCTGCACAGCCACCCTTGCTGCTCCCTCAGGCTGTACTGGTTCTAAATTTTAAGATTCACATAGGAAAGGTGACCCCTGTGATATCTCCTTCCCTCCAGAGATATGTGCCCCTTTAACCTCACTTATGATCGGTGATAGAGTCATGCGCGATCAGCCTGGCCTATGTTGCCACTGGGAAAGGACAGACACGGTGGGACTGCTGGAGTTTCCATTTCTCTTTGTGCAGCTGATCCCCAACTTACTAGTGCTGGGACCTCAGAGAGCTGTCCGTGGAGGTTGCCCCGACCGGCATGAATGCTCCACGGGGTCAGAGTTGGTTTTGGCTGAAGCTGTCACTTGTCCAACAACAATGAAGAAGTTGAGGAGTCAGCCAGCACACTGCCAGCCAGGGGGCAGGTGTCACCATGACAAGGTGGGTCCAGCTCACTGCAGGGCAGATGCTGGGGAGGCTCTCGGAAGTGACCAGTCTTCACCCCATGATCCACCTGGATGTTGATGAGGGTGGAGTTCAGGGCCTTCATAAGCCATGTCCTGGGCTCCTTGGCACCTACCCCCTAGGTGACTGTGAGGGGTCAAGTCCAGGAAACCACTTCCAGTGAACTGAAAAGATCTCAGACTACTAGGAAAAGCGCCCCCAAACATCCGAGGGTCTGGACTGTACCTCGCTTTCTCCTTTCACTTTAGGTAAGTGTCACATGGTACATACACTCCTGGTGTGGCTTTATCTTCCAATTCGCAAGTGCAGTCCCTCCAGCTGGCCAGGCTCAGGCCTGGCCGTACACTTACAGGAATGCCAGTGAGAGCCCCTCCCTCCTGAGAGCAGTCCTGGAGTGCTCCAGGGTTACAGCTCTGACCATAACAGTGCCGGAAGCCCTTCTGACAGACAAGATCCTGGCAGAGGCTCGGCCTCACAGGAGGTGGGCAATGGAGCTCAGAGCCCACTCCATGAGCCGGTGTCCCACTGACAGTCACACCTGGGCACAGGTAGAGGAAGCAGGGGTCAAACGATACCTGACTGGACAGCAGGTGTTTCATTGCCAGGTGTGATGGTCTTGATGACCTCCCCAGAGGCTGTGCCCATCACATGAGGGTCTGGTCGGTGGGAACACTTTCCCGATAGCCACTTGGTTGATCCATCAGGAGCCAAGTCAGGCTCCCATAGAGATGCCAACCACACACAACAGAGCCCGCAATGGTTCTCCTCTCCCCTCCAGGCCCCTCCCATCTTACTCTGGTCACTGGGAAAGGGAAGGCGCCTGGGGATGGAGGGGTGGTACTGACCGAGGTCCTAGTGTTGAGATGGATGGAGAGAACAGACAAGAAGTGGTCCCACTTCCCCTTCTCCCTCTCATCCCCCAACACCCAGGGCCACTGGGGATTTGGGAAGGATGGTCTCTCAGGGTTGGCTCTGAGCAACCCTGGGCAGCAGGGCCATGCTGGACATAGGGAAGAGTCAGATTCTAATGCTGCCTTTGAGGATACTTGTTATCAGGTCATGAACACGAATCTCACGGATGGGTTCAAATGGGTTTATTTCCATTGTCTCATACAGCACCTTCTATATAAAACCTTGTAAGAGTCTGCCCACCTAAACAAGCAAATGCAAACCAGCCAACTTGACCTCTGCTGTGCTCCGTAACCAGTGTATGTGTAAGAATGAGTATGAAACTCACTCAGAGAAGCAAAGCCCGCAGCTCTCCACTAAGGCTCAAGAAGGCCTTGCGGAGCCACATGTGGGCAGAGCCACATGCCGGACACCTGCTGGACGCTGCCTAGCCCAAGGCAGTGCAAGAATGTGGGGGCACCAGCCCCTGCAGACATCCCTGCCCAGGGCTGAGGGACCCTTCTGTGAGGGGCCTTGGCCCTGTCGAGGCAGACCACTACGTCCAATGGAGAAACACAATTCTGTGCTTTGAGTAATCAGAAAACCGCTCTCTGAGCACTTCTCATCTGCACATACCTCAGAGCCAGACCCTGAAGCCTTCCCTGCACCAGGCCAAGGCAGGGTGGCCAAGGCAGTGGTCACATGGTCCAGGCCATGTATGTTTCTGGTGTGACATGGGTAGGGAAGTGCCAGGCAGAGGAAAGCCAGACCAGGGAGCCCCTGGGGCACAAGGTAGGTATAGGCTTGATGGTAGAAAAGGAGAGGGGTAGGGAGCGAGTTGAGAGAGGGGTTAAGTGGATGGCACCAAGGGAAACTCAAAGCTGCCCGACAGTCTAGGACAGAAGTGTCCCAACAGGAGAGCAGCCTGACTGTCCACGGCACCGCAGCTCCGTGCTGGGCAGAGGAGACACGAGCCCGGAGCTCTGTCCATGTAGAGGAAGGGTCCAGGTGGAACAGCAGCAGAAACACAGGCTGCAGGGACAGGTCAGAGGAGACTCACTCTGAGTTAGAAGCAGAGACAGGAGGGTGAGCTGTGGGCAGCTGGGCAGCCTTGGGGTCAGAGGCAGGGCATTCCGGGCCAACACTGGACGTTGGAGATGAAGCAGTGAAGGCACGCTGCTGGATGCCAAGGAGTGGCCATCACAGTCAGGGTGACAGTGTTGGCTGCTATCCGGCTGTGGCCTCTACCAGGGAGGTAGGTCAAAAGCATGTGCTGACCATGGAGCCATGGCCTCAGTCAGGGGCAGGGGCTGAGGGCATGCGGCAGGTAGCGGATGGCCAAGGAGAAGGTTAATGAGTGTGGTCAGAAGCGTGGAGACCTCAGCACAGGAGATGGCAAGGTGACAGCACAGTGGCCTCAACGGGAGGAGTGGCACGGCTCAGCCAACCTGGCCCTTCTGCTCCCTTCACGTCTTTCTGGCGACTTGGCTCCTCTGGCTGCACACAGGCCACGCCCACTACCCTCCCAGACTCTTCACTTTCAACACCCAGGCTGTCTTGGGAACGTGACTGTGAATGCAGCCGTGAGAGCTGTGTGAGCGTAGTTGTGTGAATACGGCTGTATGAGTGTGGTTGTGTGAAAAAATTATGTGAATATGACCATACGCGTGTAACTGTGTGACCCAGTGTGCCTGCGGCCGTATGGGTGTGACCATGACTGTAAGTGTGGCTGTGTGAGTGTGACAGTGTGAGTACAGTACAGGGGTTAGAACATGCTGCACCTTGTACACGTAAGAGCAGGATATACAAGATGCCAAGAACTAGGGGAAATGAGTATGCATGTTTTCTAAACTGCTTTAGACAGTCATTTGTCTTTATTAGGCCTATAATTTTCTTAAAAACATTCCATTTTGGGTCAATCATGCTTGGTGATTAATTAATAATCATTACATGTCCCAGAAAAGCACTATTTCTCCTGTAAGACACACTGAACCAGAGATTCAGGAAACACAAGCGATGCAGAGTACAACAGGAAGCAGCAGCCTGGGGGAGGCTCCTACCACGGCCTCCCCACAGACTCTCATGGGCTCCCACAGACTCTGACAGGCTCCCCAGATTCCCAGGGGCTCCCCACAGACTCCCAGTGGCTCTTCACAGACTCCCATGGGCTCCCACAGACTCTGACAGGCTCCCCAGATTCCCAGGGGCTCCCCACAGACTCCCAGGGGCTCCCCACAGACTCCCACGGGCTCCCCACAGACTCCCGCAGGCTCCCACGGTCCGATAGGCTCCCTACAGGCTCCTCCCATGGGCTCCCCCGACGGGCTCCCTCTGGCAGCTGCCGGCCCCCGTGTGTGGCATATATTTGCACACACTGGGGCACAGGGACTCGGCACAGTGCTGGTGTCTGTCCTGTCAGCCTGAGTGCTCTGACAGCACATTTTAGAGGCTGCACGCCACTTAACCTACTCTAAGTACTATTTACATTTGGGACAAAGTCAAGCTTTAAAAAGGATTGTTTTTTTTACTTAAATAACAACATGGCTGCTTTTGGACATTTTTCAGAGTATATAGACGGCCTGATTTTTCCTGGCCTCACAAGCATTGGACAGGCACAGCCTCACCACTGGTCCACCCTTTCTAGACGGGAAGTAGCTGATGGTGGCAGGTCCCAGCTCTTGCACTGAATGTTCCCTCCTCGAGGATCTGAACTACTTTCACTTTGAGAACAGACACGAAACTGCAACAGTGTATCTGAAATACCTGAGCTAGTCCAAATTGCATGAGGTTGTGGTCCTGGGGACTGAGGGCCAGGGTGTCCCCAGGACATGCTGCGGGCCACGCCCCATCCTCTACTAGATCAAGGGGTGAACAAGTGGAGTGCTTCCTCCGGGCTTCTCTCCACAGTGACAGGAGCCATCTGGGGTGTCAGCCAGCACTGAGGGCCCAGGACTGTGGGTGGGGGCCTGGGTTGGGGCTCTTGTCTCGGGGTAGGATTCTGGGAGTCTCAGCTTCCAGAGAGCACTGGTACGAGGAGGAGAACCACTCACGGTCCTAATGGTCAGTCGAGGGGCCCTACTGGTAGAGGTGGGTTACATGTTAGCTGTTAATGAGAAGCTCAGTGGTTTGAACCCACAAACCATTCATTAGAAGAATGAAGGCGTCCTCTCATGGACACATGTACAGCCATGGAAAACTGACAGTCGGGACCAAGCCAGGAGTCAGTACAGGCTCAACAACAGTGGGCTTGGCTTGGTAATGGCTGCTTGAGATTCTTAGCTTTCAGGCTTAATAGCAAGTGTTTTTTGCACCACAAGAGTCTACAGATGTTCAACACACATCAAGCGCCTCAGGTTTTGAGTCGAGCACCACATTGACCATCTTTTGCTGTGGTGTATCAGCGAGCAGTCAGGGAAATGATCAGTAATTGCCCCAATATGCGGCCCCACCCCAATTCGAGGAGGCTTGCTTGTGTGAGGAACTGGGGGCAAGTCTTGCCAGCAGGTGAGAGTAGCAGGGACCAGCTCAGAAGGAGCCCCCCCTCCTCTCATTCTCGGTGGGCAGGGTTAGGAAGACAGGGTTACCATTAGCAGGCAGGTAGGTGAAGTGCTGGTACTGGCTCCGCTTGCGCTTCCCATTGCAGACGTAGAAGTTGACCTGGACCGGGCTGGTGATCCTCTGGTTACGGAAAGGTGGGATCTCAACCACCAGTGAGTTCTGGGGAGATGTCAAATGGAGATGTTAGCACCCACAGGAAATGGCTCTATTCACCCAATGCCTATCCTTTGGGCCCGGCCCGAAATGCTACAGCCAGTCCACCAGGGCCAGCTCACCACAGGCAGTCCACCAGGACCAGTCCACCAGGGCCAGCTCACCAGAGAAGGCACTGGCCAGGGACCTCACAGGTCAAGTCTTGTGATTCCTGGAGCCAGTGTATGGGAAAGGCCCAGAGCACAGGACAATTGTGCCCTACGCAGAGGCCAGGCCAGGGGGGCTGCTGCAGGTGCAAAGGATGGGAGCTGGGAAAGGACAAGAGGGCCAAAGGCACCGACCAACAGACAAGGTTTGTGGTGGCTGCCACCCTGCCCTGTTTCCAATGGAAACAGCACAGCGTTTTCACAAAGCTGTGCACAGATCTGTGGGTTAGTGAGCGTCACGGGGGAGAGTGATGGATGCACATTGTACCACACACGCCAGCTCACCTGCAAGCATACTTGTAAACACACATGAACCCACCTGGGCACACAAACAAAACCAAGCACATATGTACACACACATAATGTGCACGCACATGCATCTACACCCAGACATGCGTAACACACAAGAACAGGTACGCTTATGCGGACATACACACATGTATACGCAAGCATGCATGTGTGCACATAAACACATACATACACAGGAGGGGGGAAGCTCACGGGCATTCTTCTTCAAGATCATGCTCGTCCTGCGACAAATCCACAGTGCCACATCTTTGGTCTAAACAAGGGTGGCTAGTTAACAGCTTGATGGCAAAACTGCCTGAACTGTGATCCTGGAGCACTGAACAGGAGGAAACATGCCAATGCCTTTCCCGGTAAAATGAAGCACTTTGGATGCTCAGAGCTGCAGCTGGAGGGTGTTTGCAGTTGTGGATACAGGGGTCAGAGAGCTAAGTCAGAGGGAGGTGGCTACTGAGGGCCACAGAAAAAGAGGGACTCAGCCCACAGCCCCCTAGACAGTCTACAGTTCCAAAGACTCATGGACAGCCCATGCCCCACAGGACAGCAGACAGCCCTCTAGTGCCCTGGACATCCCTCAGGCCCCATAGGCAGCCTTTCATGCCCTAGATAGCCTATAGACCTCTGGACAGCTCTCTAACCCCCTGGGTAAATGTACACTTCCCCCAGAGAGGCCTCTATACTCGCTGTGGACAGTCCTCCAGCCCTCCACACAGTGCCACCTCTAGACAGTCTTCCATCCCTTTATAGACAGCACTCCACCTCATGAACCTCTCCAATTGCACTCAAGCAGCCCAATCCACCCCCCACAGCCCTCCAACACCCCTCTAACTCCCCAGATAGCCCTCTAACAGCCCTCAAAGGCCCTCCAATCCAACACAGGCCACGAACACTGCCCCGAAGGCCCTCCAATAACCCAGACAGCCCTCTAACACTCCCCACAGCCTACCAAGACATCCCCCCAAAGGCCCTCAAACCCCCCACAGCCTACCAAAATACCCCTAAAGGCTCTCCAACCCCCAGACAGCCCTCTAACTACCCTACAGCCCTCAAACATCTCCCAAAGGCCCTCCAATACTCCCCCACAGCCCTCTAATACCTCCTGAAGGCCTTCAAACCCCCGCCCCCTGAGGCTCTCCAAGTCCCTAGACAGCCCTCCAAGTCCCTGGACAGGCCTCTGTCCCTCTGGAGAGCCACCAGTCAGTCCCCCTGGAGAGGCCTCCCCCTGTCTGGACAGCCCCAGCTTCCCAGAAAGCCCATAGCCTCAAGCAGCAGGTCTTTGTTGCTCAGCTGTCAGACTCCCGTGGGCCTAAGCATCTATCCCTTGTCATAGCTGGCCCAGAAGGGATGGACAATGGAACCAGCATGAGGACAAAGCATTAAAGTCCACATACTGGGCCTGCACTGTGCACAGGGTGGTGGGCAGCTAAGAGGCCAAGAGCTGGAACGGATGAGAGAGGGTGCTGAGGGCAAGGCCTCCTCACATGGGGGTCTTGGGGCCACAACAAAGAGGCCGGAGACGCACGACCAGTAGGGTTTCCTGCTCACAAGGCTCCAGTCATCCAGCTGCTATGGTCAACATGAGGAAAACCCTATGCACCTGGTGCAGAGTAACTGAGGCCCCCTCACGCACACCTGGACGGTAAAGACTTCACCATCCTGCCGGCTCAGGGGAGGGGACTCTGCTCTAGCAGCCCCGCTGCCTGGGTGGGTGCTCTCAAGGCTCCAGGAACTTGTATTTCTTCCAAAATCATCTGCTAGCATGTTTCATGCCAGCCCAGAATCCTGCCTGAGGATGAAGCTGAACACACACATGCACTCATGTGCACATATACACACTCACACATGCAAAGATACAGGCACAGACACGCCATGGGTCAGAAGACACACCCCCCTCAAACACATGTGCATAACACACATGCCCAGGCATACAGCCACACAGGCACATATACTCCTCATGCACACACACACGTGCACGTGTCACTCACAGGTGTGTGTATATGTGCACACACACGTATTCTACAGGTACACACAGACCCTCACACGTGCACATACTCATATGCTCCCTTCTGCACTCACACCACATGCATACACCCAATTATCCTCACACACATTCATACTCAAATACGCACACACAATTACATATACACAGATGCACATGCACACCCTCCACAGGCCATCAATCAAAGAGACCAGGCTTACTTCAGCACCTGTGTGGGTACAATGCCAAAGAGCACATAAAGGGAATGTGAGGCCAGAGGCAGGCGGACGTCAAAAGCCTGACAGGGAGCCCCTGTACCCACAGCCCCGACGGAAATCCGTATGAGGAGGCATCAGATGCGATCCCAGTTCACACTGCGCTCACCCACAATCCCACGAGGAATGGTGTGGACAGGGATGGCATCCTGTGCCAGGCTGGGAGTGAGGCCCATCGGTTGTCCAGCACTCCTCTCCCACTGAAGGCCTCCCATCAAATCTAGTGATCAGACAGCAAGAGAGCAAGCAGCAGTCCCCATGCACTGGGAAGACGCAGAAGGGCTCCCGTGGGGCTCGCGTGCACTGCGCCAGCCTGTGTAGCTCGAGTTCTGAGGGCTGCCTGTCTGCTGTGTGCCAGCACCTCCTGGGGATGGGGGCTCCACTCAGTCCCCTTCTATCCAGAGCCCAAACTGCCCAGGTCAGTCCCCACACTACGGTGTGCTGGAGTATTTCCTGTGCTCCACAATACTGTCCGAGTCAGTCTTCACACTGTGGTATGTTGGGGTACCTCCTGTGCTCCCCAATACTGTCCGAGTCAGTCCTCACACTGTGGTATGCTGAGATATCTCTTGTGACCCTAATACTTAGGGTCAGAGTTGTCCCCTTTCTGTGGCTATGACTGGGCTGTGATTCTCACAGAACCGCCAGCCCCTTAACCTCTGCCCCTCCAACCATGGGCCTCCACAGCTGTGTCCTATGATGAGAGCCTCAGGGCGTCACCTCCATCACCTGCTCTGACTGCTGTCAACGGGGGCTCCTTTAACAGGAGGACCCCATGAGCCCTCAGGAGTCTTGGCTGCCATGTGTCTGCAGGCAGTGCGAGGCAGTGTGTGGTACTTACTGGTTTGCACATTTCTCTGTCGGTTTTTGCTTCCATTTCCCAAACGTGGTGACCATCTAGAGGGGCAGTAAGAAAACTTATCACTCAGTGGGGCCACAAAACCTACTGCCCCCAAGACCTTCCACCTGAGTGGGGCCAGACCTGTGAACTCTGCATCTGGGCTCAGGGAAGGTGGTCTGCCAGAGGGGGATGCCTCTGCCACGTGCTCAGTGACCCGCGGAAGCAGACCCGCACCCCCACAGCACCCGGCACCTGGCAGAACACCCCAGAAAGCCTCCCTCCCAAGAATGGGTGTGAGGATGCCTCAAAGTCCAGGGGGGAAGCGTCCAGCTCCCCTCCTTCTGCTCAGGCCACCCTCTTAGGGACAAGGGCTCTTGTCACTGACAGAGTGTGGGCATGCTGCCCAGAGAGGGCCTTTGTGCTTGGCCTTATCGCCCCTGGCCTCCTCACAGGAAACCACAGCAGCCTGAGTAGAAATATTCCAGACCATTAGGGAATTCCCTGCCAGTGAGTCACAGGAAAGGCTTTCCCACCACACCCAGAGAGGTTTCCATGGGGACAGAGCCGTGGGTGCTCCAACAGCCCAGCGAGGGGCGGACAGTGCCAGGCAGCCAGGCTGTTCCAGTGGATGTGGACAAAGCCTGAGGTGGTCACCTTCTGACCCTGTGCAGCCTCGTTCCTGGACCCTGACTGCTGCCCTCTGTGAGGTCACACAGCTAACAGGGTTTTACCTCACAAAAGTCAGGAGCAGTGTGATGCCCAGACCCGAGGAAGTGATGAGAAGCGGGGGAACCCATGTCCACAGGGACCCTGCCCCACTCCAGCCCCTCAGCCCCTCCTCTTGGGAGAGGCAGGGCTCCATGATTACTCAGCCATCTGAGTGGAACAGCCATCTCGCAGGAACACAAATGCTCCTTCTTCTCCACGGCTTTGTTTATTTGCTTCAGGAGAATGGTGCAATATTTACTTAAGCACAGATGTGTGTGATGTGCCCACCCTGGGGCTGACATCAGGGAATAGCCATAGACAAGGCAGACACAGGCCTGGCCCTCGATGTCTGTTGTGCTTTCAGGGGTGGTGCTCACAGACATGGAGAACACACAGGGACCGGTGGCTGTGGGCTTCTAGGGACACATCTCCTGCATTAGCTGATGGGTAGTGTGAGTGTTCTCTTGGGTACAGATTCTCGCCTTCTCCTTGTCGTCCTCATCACCTCCAGCTTAGGACTCCTGGTATCGTCTTACATGCAAGAAGCACTACTTCCTCTGGCCGATTTTGCTCTTTCAAACAAGAGGTTCAAGTGAAAAGAAATTATCAAAGTACTGATAAGAAATTTGGAAGCTCTGGCGGCCTACTGATAAGAAGCTGCACTGCAATCCCAAAGGCACATAGTTCAAATCCACTGGCTACTCCGCAGATGAAAGATGGGCATTCTCCTCCTAAGGTGACTTACTACCTCTGAAAAATCACTGGAGAGTCAACTGTGAGTTGGTTCCAAATCAAGGGCACACACGACAATTTTGGATAACAGTCTGACAATTCCTCACAAAGTTAAAACTAGATTTAGCATTTGGTTGTTGTTGTTAGGTTTTGAATGAATTCCGTGTCCTGGCTATCCCACTCAAAGCAGCGAGCCCCACGTGCCGCCCTCAGCGGCACCGCTGTGCGTGAGCAGATTCTTGGCTCCATCTCACCAGGTCCTTCCTTTTCATTGCTCATCTACTTCACCAAGATCAGTCTCTTCTGACAACACGTCTGGTGCAAGACAAAGTGGTACCATCCCTGCTTCTAAGGAGTGTTCTGGTTGCACTTCCAAGACAGACAGGTTTCATCTTCTAAAAGTCTACGGTATGTTCCATATTCGTCACCAACACAATGTTAAGGCACCGATTCTCCAGTCCTCCTTCCTCCTTGCCCAGTTTTGATACGCACACAGGTGAGGTGACTGAAAAATGCCGTCGTTTGGGTCACCTTAGGCTTCAAGGTGGTACCTTTACTTTTAAACACTTTTAAAAGGTCTTTTGTGGCAAATCTGGATAAAGTAATGTCATTTGATAAAGTGATATGCCACCTCACTGCCACTCTATGGGTGTTGATTATGGATCTAAGTAAAACGTCATCTTTGACAACTTCCCCCTTTTCTCCATTGATAAGGTCTAGCTTATCAGGCCACTTGTGAAGATGCTGTTTATTTGATGCGGAGATGCAATCCACAGAGAAGTCTTTGATCATCACACAGCAAACAAGGTTGTGACATATGCATAACACAGGTTATTAATGAGTCTTCCTCTCATTCTGATGCTGAGTTCTTCCTTATACTGTCCCATCTCTTGGATTATTTGCTCAAAATACAGACTAAATATGGTGAAAATGTGACAAACAGAACTAGTATGTGACCCAGTCACCACCAATGTCCATGTGAGCCCTACTCAAAATAGCCACAAGTATCAACAATCCAAGTGGCAATCAACTGATGACTGGACAAACTCAACATAGCTTAACTATACCAGGGAGTACTACCCAGCTGTCAAAGAGCTCCCAACAGCCACAGGAGAGGCCAGGCCTCCTTGCTGAGAGACTTCATAAAGAGAAGCTGGGAAGGGAGAATAAGCCAGCCATTCAAGTTTCTGGCTGACTTTCTAGCCCCGCAGCCCTGGGAGTGACCACCAAGGTCAACAGAACCTCCTGGCAGTATAAGCCGCACCCTTGCTGCCAAGCTGTGTTATACACCATGAGGGCTGCTGCATCCACGCTGCACTGGAGGCCATGGTCTGGGCAGCAGAAACCAAAACAGGTTTCACTTAGATTTCTTCAAAAATGACAACTGGCCAGATATGGTACACCACTTCTAAGAAGGAACTCTGTGTATGCTCAGCCTAACTGAATCGCACAATCTCTCTCCATTGCGGAGCTTCAGCTCAAGGAGTAATGTTCGGCGAGAGGAAGCTCAGGCCCTATAGAGGCATTTTTGTTATTGTCTTTTATTTTAAATTGTGATTTTAACGACAGTTTACAGAAAAGTGGGATTTTCATTCATTCACTGTTGCACATTTTCCTCCCTACCTGCCCCCAGTTCACTTAAAAAAATTCCTTCCTTGTTGCATGATTGCCTCCCTCTCCCTCCCCACCCCTCGCCCAGTCCACTCAGCAACGGACTATTGTCATCTAATAATGTCTAAAGACATGTTCCTCTTAAACAGTTCAGGGGCATTTTCTTAATACATTAACTTCTCATCCCACAATTAGATTCCAAAGACCAGGTCGTTACACAGAAATCTATATGATATCAACATGCAGAAGGACTGCATCAGATCACAAACAGGGGTGGCCACTCTGCTGCACGACTTCCACACCACTGGGAATCAGCCAAACACCTAACCTCAGCATCAAACCCAGCACTCCTCGTGCCTCAACACTCATGGTTATAACTGTTAGACAGACATTACGAGTTTGAAAATTAGTCTGATGGTAGATTTTTTACTACAGTCATAAATGCAAAATGTCAGATAAGATAGTTACTAAGTAAAGAGTAAGCAAGGTGCATTTTCATTTACTGGGGCCACGAAGATGCTTCTCAAATCAGCAGCACACGAGCTATCTCAGATGTGTACATACATGTACAACATGCACATATGTACAAACAAGCACTGTTACATAGACCTGAAAAACGGACCAAGACCATTGACAGCAGAACACCAATGTCCCAGTGTTGAGCTCTTGCACAGAGCACTGAGCACGGAGGTCCTGACCTTCAAGATTCTGGGTTGAGAGCTGACTCCACGGGGTGTGGGTGGTGTTGGATCACCACAGAAGAAGCCCTGCTTCTTGATGAACTGTATCCACAGCTTCCATTCCTGGAAAATACCCTCTCACGCGGAAGCCAGAAAACAGATACCTAAACTCCATCCAGGGCATGCTGGCTGACTCAACACTTGGACCTTCTACTCAGGAACAAAGAGAGAGGGCACTCTTCCTGAAAACTCCACTGGTGGACGCGGAGCCTCTCCAGAATGCTGCCTTCCTCAAGGCCTAGTCCTGCCCGAGGGTGTCTCAGCTCCCCCATAACACTGCTCATGGTCCTTTTGAGGGATCCATCTCAGACCCTTGGAATGACTCTTCTCACTGAAGACCCTTTAGGGTCTGCCTTCCTTCTAACAACTCTGCTCAACTTCCTTCTGTGGCTGTAGGGTACCATGGAGTCAACTGTGACCCACAGTGACCCTATAAACAGCAGATCTGAATCCTTTCCTCCCTGTTTCTGCTCCAGACACCATTTCAGTCCATCTCACTGAGGGTCTTCCTCTCTTTCACTGACCCTCCACCTTTCCAAACATGATTTCCTTTCCCAAGAACAGGCCCCTTCTTGCCACATGCCCAAAGAATGTGAAATGGAGTTTCATCTCCTCCTGTCTAAGGCACACCCAGGCTGCACCTTTGCCAAGACGTATTTGACTATCCTTGGGAAGTGCAGCACTGTTCTCCAACACCATAGTTCAAAGGCATCTTGGAGGTGGGTCCATCTCAAGCCTGTTAGATGACTTCATTCTACTCACTGGTTCTTCCGAAGGATCCATTTCCCCGCCACCCCGCACCTCTGCTTAGGGTGCATCTCAGCACCCCAGGGTGACCATGCTCTGCTCACCAGGTGCAAATATGAAGCGTGGGTGTGCAGGACCCAGTTATCGGGCAAGTGTCAGCATGCTCCTTCCTTGGGGACCCCTGTTCCTGAGTCACCAGGAAAGAAAACAAATGAAGCCATCCTCAGGGAGGAAAGCTATGAGGGCTGAGAGACTTCTGCTCTAGAAGCATCAGCAATACTTCATCAGCAAAACACTTCAAACTCCCAACTGAGTCAACAGGACATAGCACTTGAGACAAGACCAACATTATGCTTGTGAGGAGAAGGCACCACTCTCCCCAGTGAAGGAGTCTTCCCTCAGTCCAGAGAGGGTGTGCCCGTCTCCCCGGGAAAGCCCGCTAAATCCTAGAGTGGGAGGGGCATCAATTCAGCACAGGAGCTGGCCGTGGTCTCTACTGACAGCCAAGATCACAGTCA